CACCGCAAACCGATCCTCTCTATAGAAAATGGAAAGCGGTGAATCATCATATCATTTATTGGCTCATCAACTCCATGAATGTAGAAATCGGTGTGAACTTTCTTCTTTAAGAGATGGCCCAAGAAATATGGGAGGCCATTGTCGAGCTATTCGCAATTGAAACCATCATTCACCATTGTCAACAAATGGACCTAACAATAACTCAATATTTTAATACTCTAATCCATTATTGGCAACAATTAGATATTATTTGAACAATATCAATGAAAATTCCTGGAAGATCACAAACGCCACTGGAAAATTGTTGAGAACAAAAGAATATTCAAATTCTTGATGAGTTTGAACAAGAACTTGGATGGCGTTAAAGGACGGATCATGGGAACCAAACCTCTTCTAAATCTCCATGAGGCCTTTTCTAAAGTTCGAAAGGAAGAGAGCAGAAGAAAAGTCATATTAGGAGGCCTACAAGGATCTCCAAAGGTTGAAGAATGAAATGCTCTTACTGTCCAAATTATCGAAATCCCTCACATGTTGAAAATCAACATCAAAGAAGGGAGGAAGACTATGGTGTGAGCACTATGCCAAACCAGGACATACAAATGAGACATGTTGGAAAATTCATGAAAAATCAACTGATTGGAAGGCAAACAAATCAACACAAGAAAGCAAGGCGAACTCTATCAACACCACGCAAGATCAATCCATCAAAGCTGAAGACATTCCTTTCACCAAGGAGCATTTAAAGATACTGAGGTTGCTTCTTAACAACATCACAAACCAATAATCTGAAGAACTACATCAAGACTGGCAATGCTGAGATGTGTTCTTGGTTATACTACATCAAGACACCCAAATACTTAATTGTTGCTAAGAATCATCCTATTGTGAGTCAGTTAGTTGAGAGTCATTCTAGAGTTAGTCAAGATAGAGAGATTGTCATATTACATTATACGTTAGGTCGAAAGTTCATGTTATCTTGATTCTTGAAAAACTTTTTCCTTATTTATTTATTAATAATTGTTCAAATGTGAAACTTGCAAATTGACTAAACATATCAAATCATCTAACCCAATTGTTCCATACCAACCTTCTAAACCCTTTGCTTAATCCATAGTGACTTTTAGGGATCCTCAAAGGTTAAAAAAATAAGCAGTGCAAGCTAGTTTGTGATATTTGTTGATGATCATACTAGACTCACTTGAGTTTATTTAATGAAGAAAAATTCTAAAGTTGAAAGGATATTCAAATCATTTCAACTGATGCTTCAAAATCAATTTGATACATAAATAATATCAAGCCAAGAGATAATCCAAGTGAGTTCATGTAGGTATGCACATCAATAAAATGAGGTAGCTGAGAGGAAACATATGTAACTCCTAGAAGTTGTCAGATCTATTATGCTATCCACAAAAGTACCAAAATATTTATGGGGGAAAGTCATTCTTACTGCTGCATACCTAATAAATAGGTTACATATTCGGGTACTACAATTTGAAACATCTAGATAAACTCTACTTAAAGCCTATCCTCATGCTAAGTTCATATCATCAAATCTTCCACTTAAAGTTTATGGATGCTCTGCCTTTATTTATATCTATTCACACGATATGAGCAAATTTGACCCAAGTTAAAAAAAAAATGCGTCTTTATTGGCTATTCCCGACAAATGCTTTTGCCCTACTTTTAAGAAGGTATTTGATATCATGGATGTAACTTTTTTTTTAAAACAACCCATACTTCACTGGTTCTGAAATTCAGTAGGAGAGTGAAGGAGAATTTCAAACTTGGGAGTCAAATTCCTTATTATACAACCAAACATAGTCCAATTAAAATAAACAAATATAACAAGAAATCCAAACCACGAGGATTTTCCAAGATATATCTTCTATGTCTCAACCTTCACCTGCAGACCTAGTACCTCCACCAATAAGTCCTAATCAATCCCTACAAAGAGCAGCAATTAAGAAACAACAATATATATACTCAAAAAAAGAAAGAAAAATCAACATATGCAGAGTAGTGAGACACATTTTGCACCTATCAAATACCCTTTAATGGATTCAACAACTATAGAGATTCATACATAGGAGAAAAATGAGGAAGTTCAAAAGAGATAGTCATCAAATGACTAGAAAGAATCATGCACCAAGCATCCAATCAAAAACTTTCTCTCCTATAGAAGATTATTAGACATTTATCAAACTTTCTTTCCAAGTTTGATGATGTGCAGATTCCAATCAATATTCAGGAAGCTTGAATCACCCATGATAGAGACTAGCTATTAAAGAAGAAATTATGGCCTTGAAGAAAAATCAAACATGGGTAATTATGAATCTCCCACCAGAAAAGCAGTTGTGACCTTCAAATGGGTGTTCACCATAAATCATAAGGATGATGGTAGTGTTGAGAGACTAAAAGTTTGGTTGGTTGCAAGAGGATTCACTCACTCTTATGGAATAGACTATTAGAAAACTTTTGCTCCTGTTGTAAAACTCAACAACATCAGGATTCTTCTTTTCTTAACAAGAAATTTTGATTGGCTCCTACATTAACTAGATACTAAGAATGCATTCTTGAATGAGAACTTGAATTAAAGCAGTCTCCTAGATTATGGTTTGGAAAATTCTCAAAGTATGTAAAAGGCCATGATTTTAGACAATGACAGGCAGATTACATGTTTGTGAAACAGTCAGAAAGAAACAATGTAGCAATATTGATTGTATATGTGGATGACATCATCCTTATTGCAAATGATATAGATGAAATAATGAAGATCAAACAGGCTCTGTCTAAGGAGTTTGAAGTTAAATATCTAGGATCACTTAAATATTTCCTTGGAATGGATGTAGCTTGATCAAGTAAAGGTATATTTGTTTCCCAACGCAAGTATACCTTAGACCTAATGAAGGAGACTGGCCTGTTGGGATGCATACTAGCCAGTACAACTATGGATCCTAAGAAAAAAATTGGGATAGAAAAGGAGGGGGTTCCAATAGATAAAAGAAGATATGAATGTCTGATAGGAAAGCTTATATAGCTCTCCCACACCCATCCATATATTGGATTTACTATGAGCATGATGAGTCAATATATAAGTAATCCTATGTAGTGGCACATGGAGGTAATATATCAAATATTGAGATATATTAAGAACACTCTTGAAAATGGACTATTATTTAAGAAAAATGAAAATAGGAAATTGATCCTTTATTCTGATGCAAATTGCATAGGAAGCATGGTTGACAGTCGATCGACCATAGGATATTATTCATTTGTGTGGGGAAACCTAGTGACATATAGGAGCAAGAAACAATCTGTTGTTTCCAGAAGAAGTGCGGAATTTGAACTGAGAGCATTAGCATATACTATTTGTGAATGTATTTGGATCAAACAAGTATTGATTGAACTGAGAATAAAGATTGAAGGCACGATAAAGTTGAAATATGACAATCAAGCTGCAATCAATATGACAAAGTATCCAATACATCACGACAGAACAAAACATATTATCATTGATAGACACTTTATGTATGAGAAAATAGAGAACTCAGAAATTGAAGTAGTATATACCCAACTCATGAACAACTTGTCGATGCTTTAGCATAGACACTACTGAGCACTCTACTTAATAAGTTTGTTTACAAGTTAGGATTATATAATCTGTACAGCCCAACTTGAGGGGGAGTGTTGAATCACACGACGAGGGAGCCCACGACTTTGATAGGTCAACAATTCGTGGGCTGCAGTTGGAGATTTTCTCTTCTGACACCAAGATCGGTGAGATATAATTATTAGAATCAATTATATAAAATGACTTTAAAAAAATTATATAAAATGACTTTTCTTTTATATTTATTTTAATTTGTTAGATTTAATATTTTTCTGTTTATTCTCTTAGAGTGTATATATATATGTAATGATTCTAAGAAATAATATTCAAATTCAATTTCTCATAAATAATTTCTTCACAACTCAAAAGGTCTAAACAGATCTTTAATTAGGAATAGGTATATTGCTTCTAGCCGGTTCTGTGCCCGATCTTGACACTCGATCCGCACCTTGGCTCGGCTCACACATCCTGCGCATGAAGCATTTGCCTGACCACATCGATTCGCACTCGAGCCCGAGGCCTCGCTTTCCGTGTGCTCCGCTTCTGTAGCACAGTCTTTTGTCCTCCGCACCTATATGCTCCGTTTGGAGCCCCGCATCTACCTATCATGATTTGTTGCTAGTTTATCTGCCATGAACCCACTCTGAGCGATCTCCTTGCTCACTTGAATACAAGAATCTTCCTCCTTCCTGGAGATTGCTTCAACGATGCTCTAATACCACTTGTTATGAATCTTGGAAGAGGAAGATAGCTTCTTGCTCTTCCTTGGATGAGAGAGAGAAAGGGAGGGAAGGAATGAGGGGGAGAGAGGAGCTACAAGAGTTCTATATTTGTTTATTCATGGGCTGGGGACTTACAGGGGTCCTAATTCCAGCAACCTATAATGTTTATATGTAGGCTTTAACGATAGTGTGATGTCGTGAAAGAACAAAATAACCTAAAATTGAATCAATTCATAACAATGAGTTCGAACCCTATTAATGGAGTTGAATCAAACTCATATGAAGGGTATCTTAAGCTATTTTATTGTGCGCCCAAACAACTGGAACTAATAACTATCTGCATCCTGCAAAGATCTGAAATAAATATACATTGGCCATATAAATTAGCTGCGAAGATTAATTCAACAAAATTCTATAATTTACACACACCAGTATTCCATCCAAGCAATTCAATTCATTTTGAGCGGGTAAGATTCATTCCATGAAAAAACACTCAACACTTTTGCTTGCTTTCTTGGTATTAATATGTTACCATGTCTATTAAAGTTTGGTAGCAGGATTTGAACAGGTGAGAATATCATGTCCTAAGCGGTTGTTTGGTAACAGGATTTAGCCTAAATAACAAATAAATGCAATAAAAAAAAAACTCTCCCATAAATATGAGCAAGAAGAGAAAAAAAAAATCTGCTTTCATATTACAAAATAAATTCACAAATTACATAGTACATAATTACATGAATAGAAAGGAAACCCAAAATAAAAATTACACGACAGAGGGTAAATTCAGAGGAGCAAACAAACACAGTACACGCATTAACGAATTAAACGAAGAAATCGACAACAGGAAGGAGAAGATCAGCAGAAGAGGTGTCCCACTAGGAGGGCGGAAAGGAAGGAAAATACGAGTGCTGGAGAAGTGGTAACGGAGCCGGAGGTGGGGCTTGGAGCCGGAGCGTCAGCGGCCGCGGCCTGCTCCACCAGAGAAGACGCGGCTACAATGGCAACGAGCACGGCGGTGATGAGCTTCAACATCATAGACGCCTCCATTGCCCTAAAAGAAGGAATTTTTTGTCCTTCTCTGCGGTGAGAAATAGACAGACAAAGAGAACGAGATTCCTGCTTTCGTTCGGTAGAAGGTGAAAGGACAGGACTGGTTTTAAAGAGGCGGGAGGTGGGCAGCCTACCCGTATTACCCGGATAAAAAACAAACTGTGCCTTCTTTTAAATTAAGAGGTTTACAGGGGTTTAAAAGCAAAAGTACACGAATTATGCTGGAAATAGGCTAATAGCCAGTGTTGTATTCGGTGAGAGGTGAGAATAACGAGTTGTTTGACAATTGAGGGGTTGCACGTTGTTGTTGATAGGCTGTCGCTTGCCAGCTGGTGATACGTAGCTGGCAGAACAACACCAATGGGACCCAAACTTAGCTGTTGTTTCCTTCACAGCTCAGACTTTCCTTTCCCTGATTAAAACAAAACAAAACAAGAAGGTATTTTTGGGTGGGATGAAATTTTGAAGCTGAGATTAATGCGTGAGTTGTGAACTTGTCCCGTCTGCGTTGGCCCACCAACCGTCGTGCTGTTGTTGTCGTCCCGTTCACGTTGGTCAGTGGTGTGAATGTCATCGGTCACCCCACCGGGCTTAGGTGGGTTGGTGGGCGTGCTTGGTTGGGAACCCCCCATCCCAAGTTCGAATCCCATCTCATACGGCACGACTCCTTAAGTGGAGAGAAAAGGTCGTGTCGTCGTCCAACCCATCCTTGCCATCGGTGCCGTCTGTGTCTAGTCCGTCCTGTCCCACCTGGCTCTCGCTGTATCACGATCGAATGCACTGGTTGGGTCGGGTCAACCCGTAACCTGCGTGGGTCGGGTCTGGGTTGGTATTTTTGACTCATTTAGTCGTTTGTAAAATCGAGTCGGGCCAAACAATAACGGATTGAATTCGGGTTAGACCCGAACCCAACCCGTGACCCAATTTTGACACCCCTATATGCAGTAGCTTTTCTAAAAAATTATTTTCTCTACTATAATTTTACAATCACCTTTATAAAAGTTTTAGTCGTTCCAAGCAGATCTTTAAGTTTATCATTAATAGATCAAACCACATATTGCTCAATTTTTCTTTCCATGAATGAGATTTGCAAAACATTTTCAACACTACTAACTTTAAAAAATATATATTCAAAAAAACAATATGTATGTGCAAACGTTTGTGGTTCTCTACTTAGCCAGTGATTCTCAAAAGCTTGGCTTGAGTGATGTATTTTACTTTGCTAAGATTTTACCAAAATCTCCACCTTTCTTCATTGAAAGAAATTAGAATTTTGCTGATTCAATACATTTAATTCCATCTAGATAACGAAGACAAAAATCCTTCTTGGCCATGGGTTAAAATTTATCTTCCTTCACATCTGTATCTATTGCGTGAACTTTTATTTGGTCCGGTGAACGTAAGTAGAGCTACGTTCGGCCGGCACTAAGATCGCAGGCACAAAATGAGAAATACCGAGCAAATACCGAGCAATACCAATAATAACGAGAAATATCATTATGTGAAGACAAATACCGAGTAATACCGAGCAATACCGAGCATTATCTAGAAAAACTCGGTATTTTTTGGGATTACTCGGTATTGCTCGGTATTGCTCGGTATTGGTCTTCGCAGAGCGGTATTCCTCATTATTACCAAACAATACCTAGCAATACCGACCAAATACTGAGCAAAAACCGAGTAACAATCCTCTGACCGAACGTAGATCTACGTCCGGTCAGAGGACGTAATAAAAGTTCCTGTTGCGTAGCCAAAGCTTTCAAGTTTTCAGACGTTGTTGCCTGTTGGTTTGCTGCTACTCATTTCTTTTGCCGTCTAATCGGCTTTTATAAATCAGTAGTTATTGTCATCACTACATTGCACAAAAAATTTATGAATTATGCATATAATCCTTTGGAGAATTGCATGATCGTCTAGATTTTATTTGGGATAGCTTTATTACTATTTCTTAAAATAGTATTTTAGTAAATTTTTTTTTGTGGTATCAAACGTAGCCTTACTCAACCAATCCATTTTGTTGAGGTGTTCCCTTTCTGTCTTGTGCTTTGCAAAACTCAAGCCTATTTCTGTAGTTAGCGTTTTCATCTTCTTGCTTCATAATTCAACTAACATACACTAATTTATATAGGCCTTAAAAACACACATCGATTTTTCAAAATGAGAATCTATTCCTTTCTTGAACAATCAGTGGTAATAAATATGAATCTTGGTCCTTTTTTCAACTAACATACGGGTGGAAGTTCTTAGTCCCCTTGTAGTAACAAGCCAAACAATGGATCCTGCTCTCCACAAGGATAAGCCAGACCTTTGAGTCCTTATCCTTGCGGTTCCTTTCCAAATGCTTCCTGATGTTAACGGCCTTCTTTATTAAGGTTTTATTTGGAACATATTTTTTATTACTTTCCAAAGCAATTTTGTAGTATAAAATTTTCTAATTCCAACAAATTTTATTCTAAAATGTTGCTTCAGACCGTGAGCTTTGAGAATCCTGAGAATCTTGCTTCCAGTCACACTCTTTACTTGAGCAATACCGTGAGAATCGTGTAGAATAATACCAATCTGTGAGGGCGTCAGCCCCTTTTTCGAAAACTTGCAAATGTTCTTCTCCACATCCTGGGAAGAGGTTTTGAGCAAGCTCGGAGGAGTCTTCTTGTAAGGTAAAGCCGAAGAGGAAATACCCTTTCCCTGGCTATGCATAGGACCCATGGCTGCGAAGGTAGACGGCGGCGGCGAAAGTTTTCGGGTTTGTGCTAAGAATATATAGCGACGATGCCATATCATATCTGTAATCTTCAAAAACAAAAACAAAGGGTAAGGTTAGCTTATTCTTTTTATCTCCCCAAGGTAATCCTTGTTTGATCAGCTTGTGCAACTAATCAAATCCAATGCTAATGTTTCCATGCGAGATATACAAGCTATTACTCCTTAGTCCTTGCTCCTTATTCCTTTTATAACAAAATGTGAGGCTTTTGAAACTTTCAGAATATCATTTTCAGCCATAAAATTATTCCTACTGATAGAGAGAACATATTTTGTTTTGCACTTAAACGTCATGAATCACTCTGTCCTCCATTTCACCGTGCATAATCAGTCAAGTGTTCCAGCAGCTTTGACTCTACAAGGCATTTTGTTTCCAAACAAAATCATTCTAGCTTCTAGTATAGTATAAGATTTTAACTATCCTTCTCATAAGTAAGTTTTGAAACTACTAAAATCTATACAATTTTCTATCCATATGATGCAATAAATGCGTTCCCAGAATCTCGGCCTTTTGTCATCTGATCTTTTTCTTTCTATTAAGACAATCGCACTTGAAATATCCCTCCTCATGACACCAGAATTTTTTTTCCTATTTCCTGGCTACATTCTTTATTTCTACTATTATTTTGTCTCTCACTTCTTTGTTTTTTATGAGCCGTCTAACCTTCACCAACAATATCTTTGATTTGAATATAAACATGTCACATCTGGAAATTATTTGGTCATCCAATTTACATTTTGAACTTTCCCAATACGCTTCGGGTCTTTGATACTCATTTGGGCTCGGATTGAGTCGAATTTAATGTCGTTGGGTTCATATTTTCTAGACATCCAATTAGACCATAAGTTTGCTGAAATGGGAGTTCAGATGGTCTCAAATTTAATTTCGGAAGTTTCCAACTTAATGTTTCCTTGAGATTCGTGCCCGGTCAAGATAATTTTTTGATGATATATCAAAACTATTGAATCCGTGGAATTGCAAGTATTACAACTAAAACGTTCGAAATTTGACCAAAAAATAAAAATCATTATCTTCTATCATCCATTGGTGTCCGCTAGCAGATGGTTTCTTTAGCCTAACATTTGATTTCAACATCTTTGAATTGCAGCCAGTTGAAGCATTGTGAAGTCCTCATAATGAATACGACAATCTCCGTTCAGAGTTTTAAGCTCCGGTAAGACAACTTGTTCGTAAAGACTTTCTAACGAAGAAGAAACTTAGCTTGAGACAGAGAAAATTGTTTCTTTGAGATTATAGATTTGAACCATATATTTTATAATTTATTATTCAATATTCAAAAAAAAAAATGCATATGCAACAACAATAACATCAAACTTTTTACCAACTATGTGCGTTCGTCTATATAAATCATTTTTCTTCATTGTGTTATATTAGAAGACATTTCTATTACTTTTTAATCAAATTTTTTTAGATCTATCTCAACCTTTCTTAACATAGGCAGGATCTAATACATCTATTCTCCTAGTCGGGTCATTGAAAGGTCGACGTTTTATCTGAGCAAGTCATCTAAGACGGCTAACTCTTTCTAATCTTATCTGTCATTGGAGCTACTTCAACCGTTTATGCATATGCAATAAAATAATTAAAAATACAAGCTTCTTCTTGTTTGTGATGTCTTTTTATCTATTGTTGTCCATGAATTTAGCTAACACAACATCATTTTTATGCGATAAAATGGAATAAAAATAAAGAAATATGGCTGAGCAGCCCGGCTTTCTTAGTTATTCTTTTACTTTTGGCTGGAAAATTTAAATTTGATTGATAGTTGTTGCGTTCTGGAATATTTGCAGCAATAGAGAAATATAAAATTTAATGTCTTAGGTTTGGACGAAGGTTCAACACACAATCAGATAAAAGAGAAGGGTGTAGCATTCATAAGATGCATCAAAGTTTTTATGTGAAAACTCTTAAAAAAGGAGAGAAAAACCATCGGGCTTGGCCCAGTTTGAATGAATCCATAAGTGTATTGGGAGGAAGGCTTTGACTTGATGTAGCAAATACATTACATGATTAAAATTGGAAGAATCAATATTGACATGTTTGTTTGTTTGGCAGAACCATAAGTCGGGTGATGGTAGTCAGAAAGATCATATTCGGCGGGCGACAGAGTTCAGAAAAATCATTGTCTGGCGATGGAGGTCGGGAGAACTATAGTCGGCGGGCGACAATAGTCAGAAAAATCATTATCTGGCGACGGAGGTAGGAAGGACCGTATTGTTGGCTGGCGATGGAAGTCAGAAAGACCGTTGTTTGCCGACGGAGGTCGGGAGGACTATAGCGACAGTGGTCAGAAAGAACATTGTCTGACGACGAAGGTAGGAAGGACCA